CCCCCCTCCCCCCTCCCCCCTTCTCCCCATCTAGGCCTTTGTTTTATGTAGTATGTGCTGTGAGGAGAGGGAGGGCAGGTGGGTGGGGAAAGAATGCTGCATCCTTTGTTATTTTTTGATGTCTGCATACCATGTGGAGATAAAGGATGAACATAGACAGGGGAACACCGTTTTTTGCACTTCACTATTGGTTCATGGAAACAATTTAAAGTTTTGGAAAGTCAGTTTACATGACTTAGAGGGTTGGGCATTAGTAGGACGAAAATCGAGTTATAAAAACTTTCTAGTTTAATGATTTTGCTTTGGATGACTTTGAGGTTGACTACTATTAATATGAGAACAAAATTCAACTGATTACAAAGATAGTTAATATTTCCTTATCCCATTTAGAACAGCATTGACTGACTGCTCTTGATTGGTTGATTATGAGGAAGTATTGTCCCCATTGATTTGAATTTTTTTGTTTTCTTCAGGATTATGTGCCAGAAAACCCTGATGGTGTGTCTGAGTTTGAAGCACCACCCTCCCCTGAATCCAGTTATGGTCAAACATTTCCAGGTGAGGAAGACTTTGCAAAAGAGCCAATGGCTGTTCCTTCGCAGCTGCATCTTACTGTCCTAGGTATGGAGAACTCTGACATAGGTTCCTCTTCAAAGCCCCAACATGTTGTGCTAAATCATGTCTTCATAGAGAAAAACTTGGCCTCAAAGTCAGTTGTTGCCCTGGGACTGACTCACAGGTTTCAGTCCAAATATGTGACGGTTGTCCTTTACAAACCACTCAAGAGGTGAATATGTGATGGCCGTCAGTTATATAAACCTTTCTTTTTTTGGTTTTTTTGGTAGCCTCAGTCTGTAAAGATGAAAAGTTTAAATAATACTCTCCGACCAGTGGTATATGAAGGTCTTGTGTCTATAGATATGCTCGAGACTTAATGTTTTGAATTGATAAATCAAACTTTTTGTTTTTCAATCGTTTCGTTTCCTTCTAGAATTATTGAAATAACAATTGGGTGCGTCAAGTGTGATGGTGGCAGAGCTACTGAAGGTGGTAAGGAGGTGCTGGTCACAATTTTTTTTTATGGGTTATATAATATCCAATTGTTGTACACAAGCAAAAGAAGTAGCTGAAATTTTTGTTTAGTTTAGTGCATGTAATTTGTAGAAACTCCGGTGCGTAAGTCGTGCAACTTGCCTCGTTAAACGTGAGCAGGATCGGTTATGCTGTCCATAAATAGGTTATGTGGTTAAGATTTTATCCCCGCAAGTTCTACTTTTTTAGGCTTTTTAGAGTATTTACGGTTGGAGTTGCTTATAAGTAACTGTCAATCACTTTAAATGAGTCTCATTATGTCACGTCACTCATAAGTAACTCATATTATATTTTTATAATTTTTACTCCAATAAAAATTTCTTATAAACAACCTTATTTTTTTATAATTTATACTATACTTTTTGATACTTTACACTATACTTTATGAAAATTTTTTATAAAATTAAATATTATGGATAATATATAAATATGAATAACAAACAAAAAAAATTATATAATAAAAAAATTACAATAATAAAAAAAATTACATAATAAAAGAAATTACTAAAAATTACAACAATATAGTATGAGTGGTTGATTTTGTAAATAATTAAAATAACTTTAAAAATTATATTGATCGGGATTCATGTGCTAGAATACAAAAATTCTTTTTGCAGATGAATAAAAGAAATAGTAGAATTTTAAAAAAAAAATTTGTACATAAATAAAAAAAATAGCAGAATTTTTTAAAAAAAATTGTAGATAAATAGAAAAAAATAGTAGAATTAAATTTTTTTTGCAGATAAATAAAAAAATAGCATAATTTTTTTAAAAAAAAATTCCTCTTTCTTTTCTTATTTTCCTTTTCTCCTCTTCTCCTCACAAAGTCTCTTTCCTTTTCCATCACTCTCACCCTTCAATCTCTCTCTCTCTTTTCAATCTCAGGTACGTGCGGGCAACTGGGGTGCGCGCGCAGGCGTGGCCACCGCTGGAGTGCGCGTGGCCGGCTGAAGTGCGCGCGCGGGTGCGGAGGGGTTCGGTCGGAGGGTTCTGGCGCGGGGCGGAGGGGGTTCGCGCGCGGGCTGTCGGGATTGGTTGTCTGGAGCCGCGCGCGCGGGGCGGAGGGGTCTGGCCAGAGACACACCGCTGGCGACGCGCGACCGGCTACACGGGCCGGCGTCGGCAACCCTCCCCGGACGGACGAAGATGAGGTGAAGGATGTTTTTTTTCTATTTTTTTTTTATTTTCATAACTTTGGTCCATATTCCACGTAGATCCAATTCAAACAATCAAATTTCTCTTCTCAGCGCTAAGCACCGTTGCTTGTAGAAGCAACTGAGAAAAAATGAAAAAAGTGGTCCCTACACAAATTTACTTCAATGATAAGAAACTTTAAGATGAATTTTTAGTATTTTTTTTCTAATCATTTATAAACCAAATTTAATTTTTATTAAAAAGGATAATTGTGAAAATAAATTATGAGAAAAAATACACAATAAGTAAATATTAAAAATAAAATAATAGTAAATACATAAACATTATATAAAATTAATTTTTATCATTATTATTTTCGAAACGTTCCCAAATATGTTCAATAAAATTTGTTTGAAATCTGGTAAGAAATGGTTGCTTGAGGAAACAACTCCCTCTCTTCTTCAAACAACTCATGTTGCCATATCAGAATTCTCCAATGACAAGAAACTGGGACTTGAGTTGCTTCATAGGATAAGCAACTCCCATTGAAGTTGCTCTAAGCAACTGGATTGCCATGTAAGATCACTCTAATGAAAGTTTTTTGTAAGCACTGTTACTTAAGAATAAGCAACATATTAAGCACCTCCCATTGAAGATGCTCTAGCATCTTTAATGGAGGTGCTTTTTTATATTTTATTTTGACTTTAATATTTCTTTATTCCTGCAATTTAATATTTTGTTAAATTTAATGATTATGTATCAATATAAAATCATTTACACTATCAATCCGTATATTTTTTTTTATTAAGGCTTTTAAAGTATTAATGTAAAAAGCAACAAATTCATCATATATAATAATTTATATACGATAGTTTAAAGTTGTTTTTATTACATTTTTTTTTGTTTTCATAATTATTTTTGTCATTTTTAGTTCTTTTTAAATTGCTATTATGTTTTTTAGTTATCATTAAAAAAATTATCATTTCAAGTTTTCAATCTTTGAAACATATACTTACGTAAATGAATGACAAGTAACACAATGACATGATACCTATTTATTTATTTTCCATTAACATGTTTCCATTGAACACTTTACTCTGCCCACTTACCCTTTTCCTTTTTTCTTTTTTAAATTCATGATGGCAACTTTGTTCTATTCGAAATTTGAAGGATCAACTATCTAGCTATTGCAAGCATGCATATATACAAGCCTTATTCGGCTTTATATTTTTCAGACACCAAAGCCAATAAACATGCTTGTCCTCTCTCCACGTCTGAAAAAAGTTTTACCATCGTGCATGACATGCAAAGTCATTATCCAAAAATGAAGATTCCACACTATGGTTTGATCGTATTGTAGCGTACATTATGCTACTATTTATGACAAGATGAGTGTACCAATATAGTTGTACAATACCATCATCATGTGCTCAAAGATTCTCTTTTCCTTTTTAAGTATGTTATCAAAGAGAGTGTAGTTTGGTGGGGATGATACAAATAGAGAAAATGGATGAATCATGGGTGACAACAGAGTGAAGCTTGTAATGTATGAATCATCCAAACTTTTTTAAAACATTGGATGGTCAAGATAAGTTTTTGCAACGAATATACATGTGAAGGCAAAAGTGAAAAAGAGTAACGATTCTTTCACCACCCCAAACAAACATAATACTTCTTCTTATAAAAAAAAAACACGTCACTATTGAGATCCATCACTTATCTCTCTTCTCTTTGAAACCCTTTTGCGGCTGAAAGAGCTTTTGTTAGTAACAAGATAAGATCTGTCTTCAACCCTGGCATTGTGCCCTCTTCAAAAGCAGCTCTTGCGCATTGTTTTTAACTTTTGGCGCAGTGTTTTTGACTTCGCCTGTGCTTTCACAACGAGTTTGGATTTGGATTTGGATTTGGATTTTCTGGTGCTAGCACATTGCCTCATTCTGAAATAAATTAATCTCGTGCCATCAGTAAGGGAAAATCTTTCGTGCTCAGGGTGGACTGCGCGGCATCAATGTCCCACGAAGAATCATTTCATAAAACAATACATAATATAATGTGCCATTATCTTATCTTATGTTAGTAATGTAACATAGTTTCTAAGCACACATTTTTGGCTCACCTCCCATTTTCTTGAATTACACATTACGCCAAAGACACTATGCCTTTTCATTATTTCTTTGGAAAGTAAAAAAAGTAAAACCTTTGAAGTAGGCTTTTATGTACATTGTTATCATCCTAGTTTTTGAAGTCAAAATCATATTCAATTCGAAATCCTAGTTTAACAATTATGCACTTTCAGTGTAGGTTTTTCTACCGTCAACTAAATTACTACTGTATGACTTTAAGATAATTATTGTAAAAATCAATAATTCATCTTAAATGATAATTTGTGATTGAATGACATTATAAAATTATTTTTTCAGTGTTGGTGCATAGCCTTTTTTCTCTTTTTTGATTAATAGTAAAATCACCATTTTTTTAGCTAAAGGCGTTGACAAAGTAAACACAATACTCTTGATTTAGAACGTTGCAATGTTGTTGTTAACTTCAGCTTAGGAGAAAAAAATGGGCTGAAACAATCTAGATGATGTGTTTCACAGAAGAAATAACGGATATTCTTCACTAGCTTTCCATCATGATTGGAGTGCAAAATGATCACAGAAACAATCATATATAGCATAAAGATGATATTAACAGTATTTTAGTCACCCACATGTAAAAAGCACAAATTGCAACCAATTGTTCGAGGTTCATAGTAACCCAAAAAAGATGAGAAGTGAAGTACAAATGCATGGTGAGACAAAGCTAATGGAAGCTACTAAAACAAGGGGACAGAGCACACAAGTAGCAGAAATACTAATGAGAAACACCAATAAATAAAGCAAACAAAACCGACCAACAAAAACTAATGACCCCAAATGAAGATGATGATGTCCTAATGAAAATAGAATTCTCATCAAAACTTATCTGCCCTGTCCTTTTCTGTTCATGTGCTTTTTCAAATTTTTGGTTATGGTTGATTGGTCCTCACTTGGCCATCATGACTTTGACAAACTCCTCATAGTTGATCTGCCCATCACCGTCAACATCAGCCTCCCGGATCATCTCATCGACTTCCTCGTCGGTCAGCTTCTCGCCAAGATTGGTCATCACGTGGCGCAGCTCGGCGGCAGAGATGAAACCATTCTGATCCTTGTCGAACACACGGAAGGCCTCCTTCAGCTCCTCCTCTGAATCGGTGTCTTTCATCTTGCGTGCCATCAGATTCAGGAATTCTGGGAAATCAATGGTGCCATTGCCATCAGCATCAACCTCATTTATCATGTCCTGCAGCTCAGCCTCAGTTGGGTTCTGCCCAAGTGACCGCATCACGGTCCCAAGTTCCTTGGTAGTAATACAACCTGCAGCATTTTAAAACAAAAAATAAGATTCAGCCCCACAAGCAACACCATCACCCAATTCAAGAATCAATTAACTTGAACAGATTTTTGACACAAAAAAATTGCTTTTCAAACATAGCAAAAGTTTCAAAAACACATCAACAAATGTGATGGAGGGTGGTAAACATGATATTCCAGGTTCATTTTATCTTTGTGTAAAATTTCATGAATCTATAAATGTTTTATAACTATACAAGATTCACAAATCCAGTACTTCGGGGAAAATCCTTTCCATTCATTATAACCAAAAACAACTCAAACAATGCTAATAAAGAAGAGTATTAACAATTAGTCAATCATAAAACCCCCTTTTCTGTTTCTGACCAGAAACATAAATATCACGCAATTGTTATCTCATTCTCGGATATATCTTCTCGGGTAATTATAATTTATAAACATACATCAACTTTTTCTTTTGTCATTTCCACTCTCATTTTCTTCCTATCTTATGAATTATTACATTTATTACTTTCTCAACCTAAATTATTTTCTTCTTCCTATTATACTCCAAATCCACCTCAAAACATGGTAGACATCTACATCTTTCCGCATAGATACACGCATCGCCAAATGCCACATCCACAAAACCAATTCTAATAGAGGAATCAACCACCCAGAAACTAAATCACAAATCTCAAGCTACAGAACACCAAATACGACCACATCACATGCAACATTAGTAAGGGGCAAAATAGGAAACAAAAAAGGCACGAAATTTCATGTATATCCAATTCATCCATACACCCGAAAACACCAAGTTAAAGGAGAAGAAACCCAAATAAAAAAAGATAAAAAATTTATCAAGAAGATCCAAAAGGGTAAAAAAAAAATGAGATCTAATAATCTGAGAAAAAGGGATCTGAGAAAAGAGACCATCGCCGTCCTTGTCGAAGAGGCTGAATGCCTCCTTGAACTCGGAGATCTGTTCGTCAGTGAGTTGATCGGCCATTGGATTGAAAAGAAGAGGAAAATGAAATGATGGATCTCTTCTTTTTTTTCTTTTTTTCTTCTTCTTTCTTGTATTTGTGTTATGTGATGTGTAAAAACAAAGAAGAAGGATTGTGCTATTTATATACTCTTCACAAACACCAACCAACCAGCTCCAGGCTTCTCTTTTTTCTCTCTTTTCTTTTCCTTTTTATGGATGTTTAATTCCTTAATTCAAACATAATCTACTTGTCTTAATCATAATGCTCAATTTAATCCATTAATAGTCTCTTCTTCTCTAACAATAGAACAACAACAGTAGTAAGGTTAAGGTGTTGACCAAATAAGATATTTTGGTTTTATGTTTCCTATGTTTTGAAAATAAAATGGGACAAGAGGTCTAAAAATTAATAGTTGTACATCTTAATTTTAATAAATAATTAAGTATTATAGTGTGTAGAATGTAAGAGATTAATATTTATTTTACATGGTTGAAGTTTATAATAAATAAAAAGATTTTTAATATATAAATTTGTTATAATTAAGATATGTAATAAATAAATATTTTAAATATATAAATGTATTTTAAATAATGTATCGTGATGATATTCTTTTTATAATTATTGATAATTTTAAAAAATATTAAAAATTAATTTAGATATAGAGATAAAAAATAGATTAAAAAAATAAAAGATCAATAAATTCTTCTAAAAATATTTAATAAATATTTTTATTGAATAATGACTCTCTCTCTTTTAATGTTATATATATAGAGAGATGAGTGATCTGTTTATTCGAGAAGTAAGTCTACATAAATTAAATTTGTAAAATTTATAAAAAATAAAAAATTATTTGTTATTTTGTTTAATTAATTCTTATTGACAGACAATCGTATTTTTATGATTACTCGTCAATTTGAATTAATGAAACAAAATATCAAATAGTTTTCAAATTTTAAAAAAGTTTACAAATTTGATTTGTACATTAAGAACTTTCAACGGTTAAATTGTTGAGATTTGATATAGAGTATGAGTTATTGAACGGAGTAAGTTTAGGTAAACTTACTTATAGAATAAACGGATCACTCCTCTCTTTATATATATATATATAAGGGTTCAAACGACACCAGTGTAATTTTTATTAAGTATTATACTAATGAATAACTTTATAATGTGAATTTTATAAATATAATCGTTAGATTGAAAGTTTTTTACTCTTAGATCATATATACAAAACTTTATATTAATTCAAAATGATTTGATAATTCATTCTTGTAAAAAAAAATTGATGTAATATATACATTTCAAAATATAATAAAATATAAACACTTTGATTTCTTCAAGTTGTTGTTCAATTTTAACAAAATTTGATATAAACATATAAAATGATATGAAGTTATAATTCAATGGTTAGATTTGCAAATTTCACATTTAATATAAAGTTATTGGATGATATAATACTTAATAAAAATTACACCGATATCGTTTGAACCCTTTATATATATATATATATACATTCAAATACATGTACTTTTATTTATTTATATGTTTTTATCACATCATGTGTAACGTTGAGCTTCTTACTATTTTGTTGTTTTTTTTTTTGGTTGAGAAAACAAGTGAAATTTTTTAGTTCTCTTTCACTTCTCAGGTGCAACAAATATTTAGGAAGAAAGTTTGCTACTAGAAGTTTGGTGGGAGAGCTTAAAACAATGGAAGATCATTGTTGTGGCGTGATGTGAAGCTAGTGGAGGTTGGAAGCTTAAAGTTTTTTTTTTTCTTCTACCTCTCTTTTTCTTTTAGAAAGTTTGAATTTGAGGTAAGGGAAGTTATGATGAATGGTTGATTGAATTCTTGTGTTGTATGTGAGTGAGATTATCAATTGTTGAATGAATTAGAGGATTTGCATATTTGAAGGTTGTGTTGGTGGGTTTTGATTGTTCTTGAGGTGGCTAAGATGATTTTGATGATCTCGACTAATTTTATAGTTGCATGTGGTGATTTTGGGGCAAAATGACTTGTTAGGAGGTACATGTATGAATGATTGAGTTGGATGCATGAATCTATGTATGGATTTGATGGATTTTTTGATTATTGAAATGTTTTGCGGGGTTAATGTTCTTGAGCTTCGACTATGTATGTTTTTTGGTTTTGGTCGCTTAGAGCCCCATGGAGTTCGTTCCAAACAAGCCTGGGTGGTTGTCTAGAGATGTTTTCTGACTTGGATCCCTTAAAGTGAATTTTAGTCGCTCAACGAGTTGTTGGTCGCTCTGAGCGAGTTTAACTCGCTTGAGTAAAAGATTGAATCATTTAAGTAAGTAAATGACCAAATTATTTGCTTTTATAATCCTATATGTTAGCTTTTCAATGACTTTGAAATCTCTTAAAAATAAGGTATAGAACTTCAGTTATGACATTTTTAGGGAACAAATGTTAATCTTTCAATATTTAGGCAAATTGTGATTTTTGTGATTTTTGTGATTTTCAGTATAATAGATGATGGAGTTAGAACTTTAAAATTTTGTAAGAGTTGTAGAGAACCTTTTTAGCTTTCATGTGAGATAAGAATGAGTTTGATCGAAGCAATAAAACTCCCTATGTATTGTTTATGTAAAGGTTGTCATTTATGATAAATGATTATAAGTTGTTTGTTGATCTCTATATGTCTTGATTGGATGTGATGCATAGAGATGATATATGATGAGGTGTAAATGCTGAGAATGCGGTATGATATCAAGGAATGATGACTAACTTAGGATTTAAGGAGAAGAAATTATTTTTGAAAATTGAAGATCCTACATAAGAAATCTTGGAGTGGTGCTTAAGTAAGTCACTATTGGAAAATCTTCATTGAGCAGCTGTGTCTCTTGAACTTGATTTTGAGGTGTGTTAAGTCTCATTTAGGTCCTTGGTTAGTGGTTAAGTAAGGTAGTAGGTCGAATACTACAACCCTTAACCAAGTATTTAAAAAAGGTTGCATAGTTCCTCTAGAATAAACACCGGGTGAACTTCATGTATAACTTGGCAATGTACACCAAAGTCGTGATAAGTCTATACTTAATTGTATTATTCCTAGTGATGTAACCAATTTTTCTTAGTGCAAGTGACAATACTTGAGGAATCAGAAGAAAGCTTGATATCTCATTTTTTTGTGATCGAGTCAACACTTTGGATGCAAAAATGATTGGATTGGTTAGATAGAATAAAGTCACTTAGATTGTTCATGTTGTTAAGAGATCTCCATTGGTGAATGCGTGACGATGCATTAGTTGAGATATTTGCATATGATGTGTTTGTGGCATATTCATATGCAGCGACGGATCCACTTGTGGGAGAGTGGGGGCACTTGCCCCCACTACTATTTGACACATACATAATTTTTTTTTAAAAAATAATATATTTAAAAAAAAATTATATGTTTAAATTATCATATGTATAAAATATAGATATGAAGAAAATGTTTATTTATTTGATGTCTATCAAACTTTTAAAGGAGATTAATTCTTTTATGTGATAAAGAATAATCTTTAATAATGAATCAATTTTTAAAAAAAGTTTAATTAATATATATATATATATATAATAATAATAATACTCACATATATAATGTGATATATTAAAAAAACAATTTTTGATAAAATAAAATGTGTAGTATGCATACCTTTTGTGTTTTTTATTTATTGTATACGTCGATTAAAAATATAAAAATAGTAAAATTGTATATATTGATTAAAAAAAATCAAAATAAGAAATATCGGAAGATTTATGTTTCATTCAGAATTGTTATTATAAAATATATTTTAAAATAAATTATCATCTAAAAATATATATTAGATATTAAAAACATGTTTATATCATAAATAAATTAAACTTGATTTTTATAAAATTTAACATATTTATTTTTATATTTTGAATAGTATTAAATTATTATAAAATAGGTCTTTAAGATTATATACCCAAACATTTAAAAAATGTCTAATAAATAAATAAGTCATACTTAGGATATATATTTTTAAAGAAAGTTAGGTTCAAACCTACTAAATTATAATAAAATATTGTCTGACCTAATTTAATTATTTTCATCTTCAATTATAATTCTAGATATAAAAACTTGTAAAAAATAATTATGATATATATTTGTCTATAAAAGTTATACATAAATTTTTTAATATTATAATATATAAATAAATATTGCCCCCACTATCTAAAATTTCTGGATCCGTCACTGTTCATATGCATTGATGAATGTCTAAGTTGATATGGGATGAATGCGATACATGTTTATTTTTGAATGTTTGACTTTTATTTATGTTTTTTTATGTTGTTGCAGGTTATATAATTGTTTTCTATAATTATATGTTTTTGAACTATGGCTTATCCTTTTTTTTTCATTGTGATTTGGACTGTGATAATCATATGTTGTATGAGAACAAATCATGGGTTAAACTTGAGGAGCGGTTGTTGGCCGGTGGTGTGCCCTTTTTGCAAATTTGAATAAATTTTAATGGATGAGAAAAAGTGTATTAAGTTACGCATTAGAGAATATGTTATCATTCTTCATTGTAACAAATTCGTGCATGCGCGTACATTTTTGTGATCTTATATTATTATTCATTAATTTTAATATAAATAAATACTCAAATTTAAAAAAAAATCTTATAATTCAAGATGAATTTAGTTGTTTTTCTAATTATTTTTCTTTTACTTTTTACATTAATAAATAGATAGGAGTGAATAATATTTTTAAAAAAATTAATTTTATGATTATTTTTTTATTAAAAATAATACAACTCATAAAATATTTCCTAAAAGATATTATTAAGAATATATAAAATAAAAGATAAATAATTGATACTATGTTAAAAAACTAATATTATATTTATTCTAAGATTTATTTTTTCCTCTAAGATAACATTTATTATTGGACTTAAAAATATATGTAAGAGACCATATGAAGAAAATATTAAATTGATATTTTAAAATATTATTATAAATCCTTAAAAAATATTACTACAGAGATAAAAAAATAATTAAAATAAATTTAAATATACTTTAAAATATTATTATCATACATAATGTAATTGAGAGGAAAAAATACATAATGTTAATTAGTGAATAAAAAATACATCGTGTATATATAAAAAAAATAAAAAAGTAAAAAATAATTAATATTAAATATATGTAAGTAATTAAAAAAAAACAAAAAAATATAAAACAATTTTGAAAAATTATTTAAAAAGAATAAAATGTTTGAAAAGTAAAACTAAAAAAAAAGTAGTCCAAAAGTATATCGAGTAAAATTTAAGTGGAGTTATATCCTAAACCCGAAAATAGGCAACAATTTTGTTTGGGACAGCGCCAAAGTTGAAGAGTTTGAAGAGAAAGAAAGAAACTAAAGAAAGAAATGGAGGGACTCGCTAATTCCTTTTCAGTGTTAGAACTTGATGCCGACGAAAGTCGCGTTCTCACCACTGCCGGTACCATTCTATTTTCACTTTTTTTATTATTATATTTATTTTCATATATAGTTCCTCAACTTTGGTTTAGGGTTTCACACTTGCAGTTCTTATCAAGAGAGGCCCTTGTCCTTTCTTAATTATTGTTGCTGACGAGTTTATGGAGTTTTAAATTATTATTATTATTATTATTATTTTTTTTGTGTTTATGGAGTTTGGTAACTTGCAACTTGGTTGTGCAGTGCACCGCTCCTATGCTAAAATCAATGTCATTTTGCTTTGAGGGTCATTAGATATGAGATTGTTAACAATTTGCTGAAATATTATTTCTGGAGTTATTTATTGTGTGCTTATTGCATGTGTCCATTTATTTATTTATTTTTTTGAAAGGTTTCTAATTGAATGAGTTTGAGGAAATGAAGATGTATGATCATGGTAGAAATAGAATAGAAGAAAATATTGACATGAATAGAAGGATCATGATCACAGATCAGCAGGTGAAAAACTGACAGTTGGAGAGTCACTCTAGTGTTGATGGAATGAATATTGCTTAATAGATTGATTTGGTGATGAGTGTTTAAGAATCCAAGTGAAGAAACGGGAAGGAGAGAAAAGAAAGTGCTGCATTTACCAGGTTTTAGTGAATCTGATTTTAGTTTCTGGAGGATTATTGGTCTTTGCTAGACTATGTTATTCCACCAGTCAAACACCTTTGCTTGGGTAGCTTCTTCCCGGTTGATTAAGGCTTGGCCAATTGTATTGATGCATTTGCTAAGCTTTAGCAATATTGTTTCCAATGATTATGTATTACCCCATGCTGATATCTTCTTTAGTCAGCTTGTTGCTCTGCATTTTTATTTGTATTAACTAGTTATATAAATTTCTTGGATGGATGCTAGCTAGTGAGAACATTATGTTGATTACTATTATACTATATGAGTGAACTAGTATTTGCTAGATACTTTCATTGTGCAGGTAGTAGTGACAAGAGAGTTAATGCCAAAACCGACACTTTACCAGTGAAAAACAAGAAACCTGATCAAGAAATTCCAGTGACTCCTCCATGTGAATACAAGCTACCTCTTGTGTGGATTGACTTGGAAATGACAGGTAAGCTTGTAGAATGGATTGTTTCGAGTGTGTTTTACTTGTTTCTATTTAAATATTTTTTTTTTCATTTTTTTCTATGTTTGATTCATATTGTTCACAGACCTCTAAATTTTCAGTGACAAAGCTCTTACATTTTATGATATGCTACCAATTATCTTTGTAACTACTTCTGTGTTATATTAGTACAGATGCTATCCTTTAACATGGCTCTACATCTAAAGTATTAGATGTGTAACTCAAGTGAGCCTCCTCCATAGCAATTTGGATAAGTTTATATTTTGGAAAGATGTGCTACCCTAGGGTGGTGAATTATTGTTAAGTATTCTATCCCTCTAAGAGTTATTTTCTTAAAAATCATAACTGTTCTAGATTATCAGTCCTCTTTGTTGATGCTTCCGAATGGGCATAAGGACAAACCTCAATAGACTATGTTTGAGTCTATCCATATAACATTTTCTTTTATTGGCTTTGTCATCCTCTTTCCTTTGACCTTCTAAAGGCATGGCCTTTTTATGCTTGAATGACTGTCAGCCTATGAGCTGAATGTTATTTGAGGTTCATCATCTACACTCGCCTGATTTTGTTTCTTATTAAATTTCACTGCTAGTTATCAGTTCTCCATTTTGTACATTTCATCTGGTAGAATGCACGTCTAATCCTTGCTCTTTTTTTTATTCATTGAAGTCGAACTTGGTATCAAGGGGTTTACAAAATAACTCAAACCCTACTCAACTAATTTAGCTAGACCCGCTTGGTCTAATCCTACCTCTTTAACTGCACAACTTCCATGTTCTGTATTTTCTCCTTGAGGGCATAGTTAGAAACTTACATTTGATTATCTACTGTTATGTGATATTTAAAAGTAAATTATATATTCTTCAGTCACAAAATGTGTTATTGTTTGTGATAACATATGAATTGTTTAGTCCCTGATGAGGTTATAAGTGGTAAACCTTCTGTATGTGCAGGTTTAAATATTGAAGTGGACAGAATACTTGAGATTGCATGTATAATTACAGATGGAAATTTAACCAAAACGGTGGAGGTATTTAGTTCAATGTTACAATTTACATGCTCGTTGTTGTTTATGTTACATGATTGTTTCCATGCATCACTATACTAGTATACTGTGATCAAAATTCTACTTGTCCTGTCTCTAGCTAAATAACATTTCTCTTTTTTTACTTTTCTTTATTTTCCTGGTTTTTTATGGGGGAAACTTGTTTATTCCACAGACCAGAATCACATTGACATTTTGATTCTTGTAAGCTTGAAGTTATTTAAAGTTTTTTTCCTTTATCATTATCATACTAAGTGCATGTTTGGTATCACTTTTCACTTTGATTGCCTCATTGGCTTTTTATTTTTATTTGCTATGTAAAGTATACAATATACACTTCTAATACAAATTATGAATTTGATCAGATTGTAACTTATGATTAGCCCCCTACCCTTTTTACTGAAAGGAGGGGAAATACTATTAGATCTAATTTATGTAATCCCTACTATCTTCACCATTTTTTTTCCTTCTTAGCAAACAATGAAATGTTGATTGCATTTGGTCAAATATTGTGTATCTATCACGAGTTAATAGATAATCCAGTATGCATGATCACATTAGCATGAGTATGAAACAAAGTATCTTCTATTTTAGGGTCCTGATCTGGTCATCCACCAAACTAAGGAGTGCCTTGACAAGATGGGAGAATGGTGTCAAAGTCATCACGGTGAAAGTGGTAAATGCTATATTTTGAACTTTGTTTTTCTTGATAGAGAAAATTTTTTTACTGTAAAGTTGGCCATGGGGAGTGTAATATATCCTTCAAAATAGATAAAATAATTCAATATATCATAGAATGTGAAGAAATTTGATACTGTATTATTCATGTGTTGCTGATTGGTTGCTTTTCATTAACATTATTTAGTTCCTTTTTTCCCTTTTTTTTCTGTTGAATTAGATTTTAAATGGCATTGATTATTGATTTTTGATGAATTTAGGGTTAACAAAAAAGGTGCTACAAAGTACAATTACTGAAAGAGAAGCTGAAAAACAGGTATGTATTAATTATACTATGTGGCAAGCTCTCTTTTCATTGGAACTTACTTTCAATTAACTATCATGTTAAATGGCTACTGTTTTTTCATGTGTATTCAGTGAACTTGAAAAAAATGTTATCTTTTTTATGTTATAAGACAGATGAAATAGTTAAACTTGTCTGTTAGAGATTGCAGAATCTTAGTGTACAGAAGGAAATTGAATATCTCATTATCCTTCATAAATTTCATACAAAGTATGGGTTGGGCGCAGTACATTCCAGGAAAAAACTTGGCAACTGAGATTTTCTTTTCTCTACCAGAAAACCTGTTACATTTTCTCTAAAGATTCATGATACCGGCATGAATATTTGAAGTAAATGCATTTTAAAATTTAATTTAATGGTTTGTGATCTAAGTAATTTATGATTTATTTTAGTAGGTCTAAGGTATACGGTAATCAGCAGAATGCCTGCTGTTGCCCTTCTTCTAGGCTGATGGTAAATGTAGCACAAATGGCTCTCTAATGTTGTGTTGTCCATGTAGTGATGTGTCTCAGAAATTTAACCTTTTAGACAGATTTGGGCTAAAATTAGCTAGAGATAATATTTTATCTACAGAATGTGGCATATCCTGCACTTACCCTTGTAAGAACCTTGGGCGAATGACACCACAAAAGATAACTGTTGTAGTTGGAGTCCAAGGTTGTATAAATTGCACACTAAAATCCTATGCATCCAGTGTGGGACTTAAATTCCAAACCTTACAATTGAATCCTAACATACTCTGAGCCAAAAAGTTGGTTGTAGACAAAACCAGTTGGCATTTAGCATCGTACTCCTGCATCAAGCAAATTATATCGGTTCCAGTAATATGGAAGTATGGCTTGGATGCCACCCATCTCACATTTGCTTGTTGTGTTGAAAATGTCTGTAAACTGAGATCCATTTTCCTATATGTTGCCACTTGATCTGTGATGAATTGAAGTACTACTTTCGGTCTTTTCTGGAATGCAGTGAATGAATCTCTTTCCCTTTGTTTTATTCATTTATTATCTTTTACGATCTGTGAAATTTCAGGTTATTGAATTTGTTAAGAGACATGTTAGTGCATACACACCTCTCTTGGCCGGAAATTCAATATATGTTGATTTTCAATTTCTGAAGGTATTGATTCTGCCATAGTAATTTCTAGATAGTGGCTTTGCTGAAGTGTAGTTAATTTCTATATTCTAATAATCATAATGTTTTTCGGCTTTACGATGTAAAATGTATTGTTTAAGTCTTGCATTCTTTGTTAATCTCTGCTTTAAGTTATTGGTCAGATCATCAAATTTATTTTTTTAAATGACATCACATTTCAATTTCCATATTATTGGGCAAGTTGGTATCGTTTATATTCCATGCTTGCTGTGAGTCAACTGAATACATCATAGCATTTATGAAGTGGGCATCTGGTAAAAGAGGTCTAGACACTGCTTGAAAATTTCTGTCATCTAAATATAGAATCTCTGTTATTGAAAACCCATTTCTTTTCCATTCTGCATAGCCTGATCAAGCCTTATTGGAAGCATATGTTGCAATTTTTATTTGCAACTACTGTATTTCCTATTTTTCCTCTCTGAAATATTCCGATACCTGTCTTAACTAGATTGATTTTTGCAGAAATACATGCCAGACCTGGCCAGTCTCTTCTCTCATGTTCTTGTTGATGTTAGTAGTGTTAAAGCCCTCTGCATACGCTGGTATCCCAGAGGTGAGAAATTATAATTAGTATATAATGAATATTTCTTTGGTATTGGTGCATTAAATCATACTCAAGTTTAATATTTGTTATGAACTATCAATTGGTTCGGGATCCATTAACCCCTGCCCCACAACCAACCAACCCACATCCAGGAAAAGAAAATTTGTTTCGTGCTTGAGATTGTGGATCAGTTGCAGTGCTTATCACAGCATTGTCTACTGTATGGCTGCATCTGATATATTTTTTTTGATGAATAGCTGAATCTGATATTTAAACATGATTCTTCTACTTCTTTAGGTACTACTACTAATGCATTATAGGTTAGCTTCCATTTGATTGAAGTGGTAAGTAGTGTGATGAAACATTTGATTTCTATCGAAACGATTTCAATTTTGGGTGATTATGATTTATGAATTAATATGTTCATTTTAAAATAAAATTTAAAGAAATCCTTTCGTCACTTGTCCTTTTGTGTCAATTCTGATTGACCTAATTTTGTGATAGACACCAACTGGTATGAGAATAAGGACTGAATTTTATTCAATTTAACTGGTACAGAATACAAATTATATAAGAAATTTAGTAAACTGATTTGAGTACAAAGGTTCCCTCACAAGATGTTCAAGAGCTTGGTCTCTCCCTTCCAAAATCACTCAAAAACTGCCTAACCTCTGTCCCTGCTTCTTCTGCTATTTTTATTCTGCTAATAACTGCCTAGAGTCAGTTACGCTTGCCCCCCACTAATAGCACCTAGTCCTAATTAAAACAACAATAACTGCTAAAATAATTAATAACTGCTAAAACAATTACAACAATAGCTGCTAAAATAATTAATAATTGCTAAAACAATTCAGTCCTATTATAAAACCTAAGGCCTAACATTTTGTTTCCCTACATTTTCTGCAAGGCATATTAGTTGGGTAACTTTAATTGCATACAGATAAGAGGTTTTCGCATGACTATTATCCTCTTGTATTTCTGACCTTCCCCCAACACCCCTAGGGCCATTTAGTACAAAATAAGTGTAGTTTATCATGAATCTGAAGTTGAAAATATTTGTTTCTCATGTTTGGTTTATTATTAAAAAAAAATCTTAGAAAACCTTGTTTCCTGATAATTTTTTTTTTACTTGTTTACCACAATTATTCTTATGAGGGTAGACAAGTACCTAACTTTCTTGAGTTCAAAGAAAAATTTTATTATGATAAAAACACTATGTTATCTTTATTGCTCATTTCATGTGATAAATAATGAAAAAAAGTTGATTTTTTTAAAATTAAACAAAAATATTTGATTATCCATAAACAAATAAACAAATTTTAGTGATTTATAGGAATCATAGTTCCTGAGCATGCATTTTTTTTTTAAAATTTTTATTTCTACTAAATGCATCCTAAGAATAGTCAACTACACGAGTATGTATATGCTACCCCCCTCCCCAACAAAAATTCAACTAACAAACACGCAAGGTACTTTAGACACGTGATTCTGTAACAGCATAAAGATGCTTAGAAACTTGGCAAGGTAACTAAAGCAGATGCTTGTTGATATTTTTTGTTATTTCTTTCGATGTTTTTAACTTTGAAACTTGGAATCTTACAAGCTTTTGTTTTTTTTTGACCATATTTAATGACACTTTATTTTTCTCATGACTATTCTTTGCCACACCAATTGTAATCATTCGCGCAGATCAAAAGAAAGCACCTTCAAAATCAAACCGACACAGAGCCATGGATGACATTAGAGAAAGCATTGAAGAACTTAGATTCTACAAGGCAAATATTTTTAAGCCCAAGTCCAGAAAGTGATAGGGATGCAAAGAAAGCAGTGTTTGAATGTTGTCGATGGGAAGGTTTTCAGTACAAGTGTAAATCTCATTGTTATGGTAGGTTTGCACGCTGAGCAAATGTCTCATGATTTTGGATAATGTGTTCTTTTGGTGGTTATTACAAAATCACATTTAAATTTGTTGCAAAAGCCCTGAAATGCTAGGTAAATTGTGCTTCAATTGGCAATTAAACAAGAAAGAAAGAAGTAACTATAGTTGTCGATTACAATGCCCAAAGAAATGTTGATACAATGTATCTGCCAGAGATACGTATATAACAAGCTAAACGACCATAAATATTAACTCTACAAATATAATCCACTCATAACCTTTTCCTATAACGCTGCTCTATACTCCTTTATAATATATATATATATATATATTCGCCAAGATGGTAGATGATTGCGTATAACTGAACCTCACAGTAACTTCATTCTCTCTGAAGTCCTCCAGTGTCAACCATTAAAACCAGTCCATGCAACATAGAAATCAGTTCCACAGTCAATAACACCTGCACACGTTAAGACAAGGAATGCAAAAAATATTATCTAAGAAACAACTAGAATAGATAAACTACTATTTTCACCATCTATGTTGGAGTTGATGTAAAATATTGTTCACAACACTATTACCTGTCATATAACCTGCTGAGAATTTGACTTCACAATAACCTGCTGAGATTCTTTATAAGTAATTTCAAATTCCTTTTTGTAGTCTCGTCCCCAGTAAAACCCACAACATCCGTGCTAATATTCTGTAATGATACAGCCAAAAATAAAATAATTACACGGGCGAAATGCTATTCGTAATAATTAGATTTAGTCACTTCCCACATCAGTGTCATACCTCAATGTTCTTCAAGGTAAAAACAAGTGTGTTTATGGACTTCTGAACCAGTTCAGTGTTCTCGGGCGTCATAATGGAAGAATGTACCCTTCTGCTCACACAAAGGGAGATTTATGTGAGTTGTCATACTTCAAGAGAGTTGAAAGTCATTATACTTGGAGAATTTTCTGCGTGTAAAGTCAAAGAGTAAACGGAATTTTGTATTCGATCTAATTCTGTAAAGTCATAATGGGTGAAAGCACATTCTGGATAAACATAATAGATGAATGATTTTCTTATCTAGTAGATAGAATAGAATAATAAGAGGACGTCATGATCAATTTCAATTTATAAGGTCTGCAACTCAAACGTAACATACAAGTTACAGCCACATTTTTGCAATTATCCCATCAAGTCTTCCTGAGTCAGAATTGAAGATGTTATTAATTAGTTGGCACCCCCTACGTTAATGAGTAGTGACTATCTGAACATAATGATGCATGAAAGCCAAATTGGTGATAGACTAGAGCCATTGAAGTTAGACAATTAACCTCATATCATCAGAAGCTTGGGTAAGGTTTTGGGTTAAATTCTCAAGTTCCTTCAACAGGCCACTATCACGGACTTCAGCCAACAAAGGTTGAACATCTTCAGCCATGGCTTTGATCTGAGGCATCACTACATCAAAGAGAAAATATGGGCATGAGAATGCGTGATGGAATAAATGAATAATCACAAAGAAACAAAAAATCACCTACAGCATAGAGATGATGCATGAATGTCACAGGTAAAAATGCATATTCACCACTAATATTTTACGATTTTGGAGATGGAAGAAACTAATATTTCATTCATCATCATGCATTTGTCTATTTTTCAACTGGCAACAAGAAAATTGCTTGATTCAGCTGTCCATTCAAGAGCATCACACCTGTGTAAGAAGTGGTTTTGCTTCTTCAATAATGGAAAAAACTCGTTCAGCCAAGGAATAGCTATTGATGATACCAATTTCCTCAACATCACGGCCAAGGCGAGTGAATATTCCAACCAATGTATCCAAACTTATTCCTTGGTAACCCTTGATCTTTTCACGATCACATAAAATAAGACCTTCCTTAGTACAGTCTTGGTCAAGAGGGCCAACAGAAGGTGTTGGAATTGGCTCACGAGGACTGATATCAATTTTTGTTTCCATGAGAAGACCTGACTGGTTAACCTCGATCAATGAATTTCGTGGTATAATTGTTTTAACATCATCAACCTGCAAATTGAAGACTGATGGTTTAATACAATTCAACAACTAATGTTCAGTTTAGATAAATTTCTCTATAAACACTAATAAAAAAAGATAATAAGAAGATAAAATGAATCAAATTTATTGTATAAGCTAAAATCAACTTGTGCGCCTCAGCCTTCGGAGAAGTTAGATGAAGGATGTTTTATAAAAGTTAAGCACATAAGTTAATTTGAGCTTACGAGAATAACTTAATTCATTTTGCTTTCTTACCTTTAAAGTGCTTATGAAAAAATTATCCATTCAAGGACTTAAACAAAGAATGTCAAACACAACCAAGATTTTAATACTAGGATACTAGAGTATTTAGATTAAGGAATTGAAAGACACCTCAACAACAGCTTCAATACTTTTCAGGGAAGGATTCACACCAATGACATTGCCAACATTGACCCCTCTGATTCTCACAGGTGTTCCTTTGCTTATCCCACATGCTTGAGCAAACTCAAAGGCCACTGTGTACTTCCGGAATTTGGATCTTATTTGGAAGTCCCTCAACCAGGCCAAACTAAGAACAAATAGGACAGTACCAGACACTAAAAACAGTCCAACCCCACCTTCCCAGATGCTCCTATCACTGAATCCAAAATCACTTAGTGGCCGTAATGTTCGCCTCCAAATGGTATGCGGAATTTCCGACACAACTGCAAGTGGATTTTTTGCTTCTGATGTAGATGACCTTTGACCATGATCTGCATCAGCTGATGCAGCCCCTATCCTGTTGATGTGTGTGTGGCGTCTAATCGGAAGAGGCATGAAACATGAAGAATTTCCTGGTAGTGTAATCAGACATGAAGGAAAAGATGTTGGCAATTGTGAGACATGGAGTGCAGGGTTCCCAACCATCTTCTAAACAACCTCTTGGCCCTGAATTTCTATCCTCCACACACACAACACAAAAGATTTTAACCTACATCAGCAGCCAAATTGAGCTAGAACCAAAATCATATAAGAGTCTGGGTACCAGCTTAGAAGAGCTTTTTAGAGTTTTTTTTTTTTTTTTTTTTTTTTCCGAAAATAAAGAAATTTTTCTGCTAAAAAAAATCTCAAACTTTTCTAAACTTACATCCAAACAAACTAATGCGTAATTAAATAACAAAAGACAAAGAAGAACAAGAAAAAACAAACACAAACACCAAAAAGCACAATTTCAAAAATAAATTTCATTGATTCTGATAACATCAGAAACATCAAATTTGTTGGAAATAAGTGAAGTACGCAAAAAAGAATCAATAAATAGTTATTCAATTCAAGCGTAGGATAAAATCACAAACAAAACCCAGACTCCACCATTCCATAATGTGAATATTATTGCAGAAATGGAAAAAGGTAGCAATTTCATAATATATTGGGTTTGGCTTGATAGCTGCACCCTAATCCCCAACAAAACATAATTCTGGGCAACACATAAAAGCGCTTCCAGTGTGATATTCAGGACCAAAAGATGCCAAATTGTACCTAACAAGCATGTAAAGTAGATCGAAAGATTGAAAATTTTAACAGATAAATGAATACCCAATAACAATCTCGTGATGGTAAAAAAATGAGTAATGTTGGGTCCGTGAAAACAAGTTTGAGTTTAGAAAGAAGTAACACTGTTGGCGTCATCATGAAACAAATAGAAGAGACATTGTAGAGAGAGAAACCTAGGCAGCATGAAGAATCATGGACATCATCGAGAGTGAGGCATTTCATTTTTCATGTTCAAGAAATTCTTATATACAAGAATTTGGTTATACGTGTAAATGGATCATTATTCAATGACCAATTTGTTAATAGCACTCTTTATATCAGTAACACTTTATTATTATACCAAATTTTATGTTAATCTCATTGATTAAAAGTTTTTATACAGATCACAACCATGCCCAATACTTTTGATTTGAATTGGAAACAGTAAGTTTAAATAACTCTGCAGATCTAAACGATTCAGTGGAAAATATTAATTTATAATTTATAATAGTATTAAAAACGGATCAAGATTCTCTCTATATTTTTTCTAGATTTCTTCTATAACTAAAGTTTTGGAGAAATAAATATGATATACATTTAACAGAGAACCATTTATTTCTCCAAAATTACAGAAACGGAACAAATGGAGAAAAAAAAATGGGGTGAATTTTTTCTATTAAAAAGTACCAAATAATGTATTATAAATATTTTACTAAAAAAATAGGCAGCTTATTTTCACATAAAATCTTAACATTTTACGTAATTTATATTATAAATAAATAAATAAAGAAATAACATCATTTTATATTATAAAGACTTAAATGTGTGTTTGCAATTTTTATAATTTTGATGATTTTGATTTTGATTCTTCTAAATTTTTTTCTTTATTTATCCTTCTAAAATTTATAAACATTATTTTTAGTCCTAGTAAAATAAATAAATTTTAATTTTAATTTCTGTAAAATAGTTTTCTTTAATTTTCATTTCTTCAAAATCTAAATTAACAATATCTAAACTAATAATTTTTAGTTCCTAATGAATATTTTAAGGTGAATAAATAATATTTATTTTAAGAATTTATAATTTTTTTGAAAATTCTATTATAAAATAAGGTTTGGCCCACCCACCACTAACGTTTTTGGCGTGAGAGTTTGATAATGTCTCGTGTTCGTGTCGTTGCCCACCAAACAACGTTTATAAAAGAAATTTGACTGCAAACGTGTTCCCATTAGTATTGCTCTGTTTCTCTTTTTCACGTGACATTCTTTTATACGTTTAAAAAATAAATTTTAGAATAAAATACATTTTTCTCCTTTATTTAATTCTGAGTTCTTTTTAATTCTTTATTTTTAAAATGCTTATTTTAGTTCTTTAACTCCTAAACTTAACTTGTTTTTTAAACAATTTTCACCGATATGTATTCTTGTTAGAGAATCAGTGGATTCCATAATTTTCATATTTATAGGAGAAATCTTATGCCTTAAAATCAGTCAAAATAATTGTTTAAAAATGCACCTCAAACTAAAAATAGTTATTGCTGCTTGCAAAAGACTATTAACTTGATTTGAATATTTAAAGGACTAAAATGAATTTTTAAAAGACTACCTTTAATAGAAACTCTTATTTCAACTGTAATTTTTTTTTTCTCATTCAGAAAAGCTTAAAAAAAATGGAATTCAATTCCACGTATCCATTGTTTATTTTCCAAAGTATCCTTCAATTTTCTCATAGTGCAAGTGCTTCAGCCAGAATCCCAATCTTTTTTTTTCCTCCTTAATATCGTCTTTATGGCTTAAAAGAACCATGAACAAAACAAATCACCAACATACCCCATAGGGTGACAAAGCTTAAGATCAAAATTTCCTTTTACTAATTTACTTGTTGATATAATTTTATCAGAATAATATCATTTTCTTTAAGCCTCTCTCCCTCAATCATTGGTTTTTATTTTCCAGTTGCTGTAATGAGCTACCATATTGCTGGATTGAGACCAGAAAGTAACAGCAAATGGAGAAGATATTACTAGAAAAGAAAGATAGATAAATATATACAGTGTACAAATTTTCTTACAATTACTTGTTTCATGAACATAACTGGAACTGTTGATGAGTAAAATTCTTACTTAAACTCCCGCATGCTTTCCAAAAATAATAGCATGGTACGCAATATATGAGTACTACTATGTAATATCCAAACAAACCTAAATGAAGGAACCTTGGAGGAAATAACGAATCAAGAAATTGGAAAATAGTAGAACATAAAACATAAAGAAAATTACACTTGATCATGATGATATCAAATATCACTTTGTTTCTCGCATTTGCATATCATCTTCTGTTTTCCAAACAACATCATCCAGGCTTGTTGAAAGTGTTTTGTAGAACTGCAGATATTGACGCAAACAATTTCAATTAGATTTTGTTTCCAATTATTTAAGAATAAGAGGATGTAAATACCTTTCACAAAAGTAACAGTTATTCTATGGACAAAACTTAGTTTCTTATATTTGTTATCAGTTCTCAAGTCAAACAATGACAAATTGGTATCTTTTCCTAATTCAAATATATAATAAACTTCTTTAATTATCATTAGAATTAACGATATAAGAGTTATTTTAGAAGTGGCAAGCAGAGACTACGTATTGTAAAACAATTAAGCTATGAAGGGGGCAGAAGGACACCTTATGGAACTCCAATGTATCTCCTTTTGCTTTCCGTACTTCAACCATGTGAAGAGAAGGTGCCACTTGAAATATCTGTTTATGAAGTGTACTTTTAGATTTCAGTACAATAATGTGACAAATAGTGCCCCACATCACCAAATAAAGTTATAACAATCATATACCTCTGTGGCAACACTAAGGTTTCCCTTCCTTCCAGCTTTCACATTTGCAAGCCTCATCTGCAGGTGATGGTTTATTAATTTCACAGACTACCATTTATATAAATGTTGGTATGTTTTAACAAACTTCTTCATAAAGAAAAAAAAATGACAAGCTTCTACGTAAGCAAAAATTAATTTATAGACAAGTTAAAAATAAGTTTTGAAAAAGTCAATAGAAGAGAACTCCAAATTAGTTTATGCATAAATTAGTTTTAAGTTAAATTTATTTCATTTTTCCTTTTTCTTCTCCTAGAATTACTTATAGAGAAGTTTATTCAAACAAATTCTTAAGTAGAAGCTCATAATAGGCTTACCTTGTAATTTTTCTTCTGCACATCAAAGCCAAGAGGTTTTGCAGCTTCCTCAATCTTGTTGATTATCTCATTTGCAGGTGATTTTGATGTGAATCTCGTTTCCCTTTTGAATCCCTGCAATCAATGACATAAGAATAAATCAAACATGGTAACTTCAGCAAGGCACCTTATAATCTGCACCAAGTTAGCTTGAATCACATGTTTCAACATAGTTAACTAGCTTTTGTCTCGAAAAATAACTAGTTTATATGTCAAAATTAATGTAACTAACATGTTTTCCCTATATTTGAATTCTACATGTTCTTCACAGTAATGAAATAATTTAGAAAGCATCATAACATGTGAAGCTACGAACCTGCTCTATATCAAACAAGTTTTCAAGGTTCAGCCCTTTGGACATGGAAATTAACTCAAAAGCATTCATGGCCGTAGGCGTAGGCTGCTCTTCTTTCTTCTCTGTCACATGGTGCTCCTGAAAACACATGCAAAATTATGAGATAATATTCCAGAACTCAGAAAATCACTACCAAAGTCATATCTAGTAATCTTAAACATACTTCAGAATCTTTGAAAACAGCTTCAACATCGTCGAGGTTGGTTTCCCCAGTCTCCTCAAAAACTGGAGGCTTATAATCTTTCTTAAACCATTCATCATCCAATATCTCAGGTATAGTGATACGCTGCCATACAGCAAATGTAAATCAGAAATCAAGACCAAAACTTAACTAGTACAGAAAAATGACCATAATACTGTAGATTGATGATCAGTTATCTTTCTATTTCAGTTATGATGTGAGGCAGGGAACTAGCTAAATGTGGTTTTATAAGAACCATTATTCTGGTTTGCGTAATCATGAAATCAAGCTGATGCAGATGATATCATGCCAAGCTTAGTCCTTTAAGATCATTGGAAGCCACCAAGTGTAGAAGGCTATAACTTGTTACAAGTAAAATGACCCTTTTACTTTAAGAACAGTCATGCAATTTTTTTTTTATCAGTGAAAAATATTACAATGACGACAACAAGGATCAAATATAAGTCATGTATATATTCAAACCCTCCAACCACAGGTTGTCTCTAGTGGTTCAAATATGCAATTTTTACATGTTAAGAAGCAGGAAGATAATCAAATGTTGCTTCTTACAGTTATAGGATCAGGATCCAAGATTCGTGTAATCAATTTCCTGGCACTGAAAGAAAGCCACGGGGGGCAAGTAAATTCAGCAGCTGAGATCTGTGGATCAAGAAATGAAATGTAATAAAGAAAAAACAAAGGAAAAACTAAAATTGTGCAATAAATTTTAAACATTGCTCACCTTTTTATAGAGATTCATAAGATTAGGGTCATCAAAAGGCAAGTAACCTGCAACCAATACAAAGAGAATCACCCCACATGACCACAAGTCTGCAGTTGCACCATCGTAGCCTCTATCGTTGAGGACCTACATATAACAAGAGTATATAGTTAGAGTGATTCAAAGTGTATGAATGTTGGTATGCAATTCGCAAGAAAGTAGCGTAACATTTGTCTATACCTCAGGAGCAACATAATTTGGAGTGCCACATGTAGTATGGAGAAGTCCATCATCCTATCAACAAAAAAATCAACCCTCTTAGAATGCATGGAAACTTTGTCAAGTTTTCATTAACGTTATAGAAGATGTTCAAATTTATAATCATTGAAATAGGATTTTAATATTCATGAATGATTGAGTACAACTTCTCGACACTGTCAACTCTTCTTGTTCCAACTTCAATAATGTCACACTCTAAACATGTTATGCTTTCTCTTCCTAGATCTTAAACTTACTATTGGCTTGACCTCCTGATTCATCCATCCCTAAATCATTAAGAAAAATCAAATCTTGTCTGTCTCTGGTCAAAATAAATCACTAATCACTGATAAAAAAGCTAAAAGGTTGGCTGTTGTCCTATTTTCCTGTGTTTGATTGATGTCCTTTCTCCAATCATTAAGCATATATTTCACCATCACCTGAATAAGATAAGCATTTTCCCTACTTCTCTCACACCGTCACAAGTCTTCATACTTTCTAATTGTTTTATGTTCTTTTACGACATCAATAATTGGGTCATAGTTTTACTTCAAAAAGCAAGACCAATTTAATGAACAAAGATAGATAAACACCAAAGAAAATTAAAATTCAGAAGGCAATGAAATTCATTATTACCCTAACTTGCTGGGAGAGGGCACTCAAACCAAAATCAGAAACTTTAAGGTTCCCTTTCTCATCTAACAGCAAATTTTCTGGCTGCAGAAAGTATGTGAAGAGTTATGAAATGTTAGAGGTTATTTCTTATTATATCAAACTCAAAATAATTGTTCTGGCACCTGCATGTGTGTGTGTGAGAGAGGCCTTACCTTCAGGTCTCTGTGGTAGACACCCCTGCTATGGCAATAGTCAACAGCATTTATAAGCTGCTGGAAATATCTACGTGCTTCATTTTCACTCATTCGTCCATGGTTTACCTTCACAACAAACATTCATTGGAACATATACAACAATTTTTCCTTGTAATAAAGATAAAAATCATGTACTAAGATCCAAATCATTCCAATCCACTACAATGCCAATGAATGATGATAATAAAATGATAATGATGATTGAATGAAATGAAATATGAATGAACAAGGATCATATTCTGGTGGAACAACACTTGTATAATGTCATAATCATAATCTAAACAGGATTGATCAGCTGCAAATGTGTTAAAGAGCCACCATTTGTTCCTTTTTCCTCCAAAATTTCCACATTCAATTGAAAATGAAAGGAAGCAACAAGGTTCGTTTACTCACAATTTTGTCAAAGAGCTCTCCCCCAGTCACAAACTCCAAAACAATATATATTTTTGTCTTGCTTCCCATTACCTGCAAACAAAAATGTTAAAAAAGTTAGAAACAGAATTAGGCAACAAAGTAATCATTGTTGAGAAATAATATGATTTCTAATCGCAGATTTACTTCCTTAGAAAAGAATTTAAGTTTAGTTGGATAGTCTGCACTAGTACGAATGCTATATCATAAGCATACAAAACGGGCATCATCAGCAAATTAATTATCAGGTCGACTGGGAGTGGTGAGTGAAAGTAATGAAATAACATTGAAAAAGAAACATGAAATACATATTTAACATGTATTTATTCTAAGATCCTATTTGTATAAACTTTTTCATAATCACATATAAGAGAAAAAATTAAAAGGAAAATAAATTTCTCCTATGAACTAATTTAGTTTATGCCCAAGTTAGAAACAAGTTTTGGAAAGGTTAATAAGAATTAGTTTTTACAAATTAACTTATGCATAAGATAACTCTTAAGTCCTAACTTATTCTTTCATATATAAAAAATGTCATTATGTGGGCAATTCATGATAGAATAATGTCTCAAGCTCAGTAACAACAGAGGATTAGAAATTTTTATTCTGTCTCGTTTAGACTTGGATAAAAGGCAGCAGTTTCATAACTATTTATAGTCTCAGAAATATAATGATGATTCAAGCATTCAACGTATTTGGAACTTCCCATGTTTGGTAGGGTGGAAAGAAAGCGAGATAGGAAAGAAATTTGAATTGAATTAAAGGGAAAATGGAAGAAAATAAAAGTTTGAAATTTGCATTGAAGAAAAAATGCAAGAGAAAAACTTCTAGAAATCAGCTTTCCTTTTCACTTTCTCTTCAACCAAATAAAGGAAAATGTATTGTTATTTGTAATTTCTTGTCTTTTATTATCTTTCCTCCCATCCAAACATACCAGAATCCAGTGAACAAGGGTATTGTTAATTTAAAAAAAAAAAAACTTTCAAATCATCCGATAACTTCAATTATTTACAAGATACTTCAAGCATTTTCTTTCAATGTTAAGCACTAGGAAATGTTCTTAGTGAAACAATCAGTTTTGAAAGTTCTAGAGACAACCATCACCTACTGCTGCTTTTAAAATAGAGACAATTCAGGCAAGAATAAAATAAAGGAAAAAGCAGTTTAAAAAAGAGAAAGACAAATCATTGCACGTGTGTGGTCCAGAGAGAGAGAGAGAGATACCTCATACAATTGAACAACATTTGGATGCTTGATTAATTTCATTGTAGCTACTTCTCTCCTGATCTGCAAAAATACATTAAAAAATCTAAGAGACTTGACTTCATCATGCCAGGCTCTAAACTCCAAAGAAACTACCAAAATAAAATAATAAGAAGCATCCGAAATCTATAACCTCCCACCTAAAAATAGTTAAGCAAAAACTAGAGTTTGTCTAATTATTGAAATGTTTTGGACAATGTACGGATGCAATTAAACTAAATGAATTTAATTTAGGTATACTGCTTGTACCATGTCCATAGAAAAGAGAAAAAAAAAAAAAAAAAAAAA